GACGCCCCGCGCTCTCGCGCTCCGCTTCTCCCGGGCCGCGACGAGCGCGGTGGCCTCGTCTCGCCGGCGAGGCCACCACGCCCGTGCGGGAGCAACGTTGACGTGCTGGCGCGTGTTTTCGCGCCCGAGGCCGTCGCCGCTCGCGACGGCCGTTCTCGTCGATGACGCGAGGCTCGGCCTAGGCACGGCTGACGGGGACGCGAGCCGATAGTCGCCCGCGAGAGCGGAGCGCAATGATTCACCCGACGGGATGTTACTTGCGAGAAATGAACCCCCCGACTTGTACTCGCCGTTTACGTAAGAGCGACGGGCGACCGCGTGCGTATTAATTGTTACGTCTCTGTTTCCCCAGCGCGGTGGGTAAAACGTGCTTGTTGATAAGCTACACCACCAACGCATTTCCCGGGGAGTACATTCCAACGGTGTTCGACAATTACTCGGCGAATGTGATGGTAGACGGGAAGCCGATCAATCTCGGCCTGTGGGACACCGCGGGACAGGAGGATTATGACAGACTACGGCCGTTGTCCTATCCGCAAACCGACGTCTTTCTGATCTGCTTCTCGCTGGTGAACCCGGCGAGCTTCGAGAACGTGCGCGCCAAGTGGTATCCGGAAGTGCGCCACCACTGTCCGGCCACTCCGATTATCCTGGTCGGCACTAAGCTGGATCTGCGCGAGGACAAGGAGACCATCGAGCGTTTGAAAGACAAGAAGCTGGCCCCCATTACTTACCCTCAGGTTTGTCCCGATTACAGAAAGGCTCGGCTGGTATTTAATCGAAGAACATGCATTTAGATATTAGATACATAATAAGATAGAGAAAGGGAATAATAGTGACTGTGAAATCAATCTTTTGTACTTTAGCGTAACAAATACGTTGCGAGTTATAAAATCAAGAAAATTGATAGTTTCCACTGGCATATCGAATAGTTGTAATGAATATTTCGAGCGTCACTACTTGAATATGTGTCTCATATACTGGGTTCGGCAGGGCTTGGCAATGGCAAAAGAGATCGGCGCTGTGAAATATTTGGAGTGCTCCGCCCTGACGCAGAAAGGCTTGAAGACTGTGTTCGACGAGGCGATACGCGCCGTGCTGTGCCCCGTTCTACAAGTGAAGCCAAAGCGCAGATGTTTCCTTCTATAATATTAAATGTATCCCTCTTTGCACGTTGGTACTGGAATGTGTTAAAAAAGTGTCCTCGTCGTCTCATCTCCAGTGTACCAATTGGATCGATTCGGGTGAATTACCGACTATTTGGAACCCCAGTTGTACCAGCCTACGTCAGCAAAGAGGCTGCAAACATCTGCCAGCACATAAGCGCACAAACGTCAGTTCGGTATAAATTTCCAGCGAGCAAAACTAAAGAGGGTTCACAGGGAATCGTGAGAATTCGCAAAGTATAAATTTACTCTTACGTGGCCTCCAGCACACCCTAAGGAAAAGAAAAATTAAGGAGGTCTCCTGCTGTCTACGCGAGTAAAAAAAAACAACTTCCAGTCTAGACAGTCTGATTATATTATATAGGGCTATAAATGCGAATCGACTGGATGTTCTAAGCGAAAGGAGTGTAAAAGAAGCCAAAATAACTGAACTAACCGCTGTACAGTATACTAGAAGTACGTTAATAATATTACAATTAATAATTATATAATGAATGGTAAAAGAAAAAAAAAGCAAATATTACCATATGATTGTATAAGCGTCCGAACACTGACTGTATAACACTGATCAGTTTAATCAAAGAGGAAAACCATTTTATGCTATTTGCTATTGTACATTTTAGGTAGGACACGTATAGTTAACGCATTTAAAATGGAAAAAAAAAGAAAGCCCGTAGTTTTCCTTATCGCGAAGGATTTCAATATGCATCAAGATATGAATTCAAGGAGAGAAAGAGAGAGAATATTTTTTAGAGATATGTGCGTAGAATACATGGCAAACCCCTCTCCTGTTTGGACGATATTCGTATAGATGTTCATTGTAAATGTGAATAATGGTAACCCCACGCATATACACATTTCTCCAAGTACTTAGAGCAACCGCAAGTATTTTCTCTTGATTCCGAACATTCGACGCAATATACGACGTGTGTCCCAAAAGTATCCGACCTCTGCATATATCCATCCTATTGCGGAAAACAGGCATTCAGTATTTAAGGTGGACCTTTAGAAGTACCCCAAGAAGTACCAAGCGGTACGACCCAACACCTGTTCAGTCGGCAACGGTACGCAGTTGTGTGAGCGTCGCTCACTCCATGGATAAAGATATATGCAGAGGTCGGATACTTTTGGGACACACCTCGTATGTTGTCGAAAGCTTTAAACGAAGCTTCGACAGAGCTGCTTTCACAAAGGGAATCCGTTAGCCTCTGAATCTGTTACGTTCGTGAAGGTCCTAGGTTTATTTGAGAAATTGTATATAAAATCCAATTGAAGGCGTTAGATGCGTTAATGCCATTCAATGTTCACTGTGCACGTCCTATATTTAATTCTGTTCATACGCAACGGTTTAACAATAGTTTCGCTTTGATGGTGAGTTCATGACGATTTTGAAAACGAACAATTAACCGGTAGGCACGCGAGAAAGATTTCAAAAAAAAAACGACCTGATAGTTACATTTTTCCAAGCGGAGTCGGTAGCGCAGCGGCCGCATAACATGGCTTCCTTCTTCCACTAAATTGGTTAACATTATCGTAAATGTTACGTACCATAATTTAAGAAAAGGAAAAAAAAATAGCTAACTGTACAAGAGTTCTAGATGTATGTGATATAAGTATAAATGTTAAGCCGAGTTTAACGATTTCTCTGCTCCGTGTTGTCCTGAGCTTGCGAGCGTCTCTTGCGCGATATCATCTGTGATTAGGGCGCACAAATTCATCGCGTCCTATCTCACAGGTATTTATCGTGTTATCGGGCTGGAATCGAAAAGGAAAAAAAAAATAAGGAAAAGAGGGATGTGACGCTGCATTTAGAAGCGACAAGCGGGATATAGCGAAGCAGAGGACGCGTGAATGTTCGCGTGTGAGAAAAACCGAGAGACTGTCGTGGAAGAGAGAACGCGAATATGAGAGGCACGAGCGTGTACGTGTGTCATGAGAGAGAAAATTCGCTATAACATAACAATTGTACATAAATGCTGAACTTGAAATGTATTCCTACTTATTACCACGTATAGTATACGACTTTTACGTGCACACGCATGCGTATAGTATAAGTGGTAATTCGAATCGTATACATTTATACATATATATATATAAATAGATATATATATATAAGTCGCTGATCGAATCTAAATCGTTACTTGTTTTTTATATATATATTATAAATATATATAAAACAAAACGCGGGGGAAGGGAGGGGAAGCTGGACCAAGACCTAACTAGACTCTCAATCATCGCAGATCCTTATTAATCTCTGTGCAATCTGTTTGAGAAAGAAATGAAGATTCGGTCCGTACGGAAAAAGAATCATAAAACTATTGTAACTAAATATGCTTTATTAAATGGGTGTTTATTAAACATTCTGCTAATTCCCTCGCCGAGAGAAAACAATCATTACGGACACCGACGCACAATGTACATTATTACGCGGCAGTGTCGTAAAACGTGTTGATCAGCGCCGATATCTGGTCGGGGGTGTACTTTATGTACTTGGCCGGATTCTTCGAGAACGAGGTGCCGCGATACTTGTTGTAGAACGCGGCGTACAGCGGTACGATCGCCTCGTGCAGTTCCTTCCTTAATTCCTCGCGTAAACATCGATCAGGTACCGAGTACGAACGCTGACACTTGGCCACTTCCTCGAGTTCTCGCGCGAAGCCCAAGAACTTCTCCTTCAACATTTTGGCGGCGAGATCTGTGCGAGGGGGAAGAAAACGCGCGTGCAGAAATTAATGCGACTAACGATAAGTCTAGATCCGCTAATTGTTGACAACTTCCGTGATTGTTTCAAAGATTAGACTAACAATACACGATATTGTGAATGCGATCTAAAACACGTATGTTTGCTACTTCTTTCTGTGACTTAAGTATTTACAATTTTACTTATGGCTCCGTTGAAACTTTATGTTTAAGGTGAACAAACCTGGCTCGTCTGCGAGATACGATCGGGCCTTGGCAAACGTCGTAGTAACGTAATTGGTTTTGTCTTTGAGAAGTAGATCGTGATATGTTTGTTCCGCACTTGGCTCGGCCAGCAAGAGCAGCTCCATAAGAGAACTTCGGCCGAGAGCGTTAACCACGTAATTATGGTTATTCAGCCGAAATAAAGCTCGTAAAGCGAGATCGGAATAAGACGCGTCGCTTTTACTCACTAGCGCCAGATTCAATTGAGCTAGAACCTTTTCTGTAAGAAGACAAAACGGACTCTCGTTCAAACGGACGACGTTCCCACAGCGGTATCTCGGCCGCTTTAAATTACATTGATTTACAGAAAATAAACCAATCGTAATGGGCATCAACTTACTGACGTATACACCGAGAACCATTTTATGTACATTTTCCGGATCTTTCGAGTACGACGCGGACTGATCCGTGAAGAGATTACGCCGGAGAACGGCACCAGCCATGTCCGCGTATTCAGCCAGCTGTTCCAGAAAGACCAGGACGTTACTGGTCCCCTCCGCCACGGTGCCGTCCCTCGGCAGACCCGCGCCGGATTCATTTCTCACGCTTTCCGCAAACTCCTCCAAGGCTTTAGCACCCTGCAAAATTAAAGGGCCCGTTGCGTTATGTTGGCCACGCGTCTTTATTCCTAATTTATGACACGTAAGCAAGAGCGCATAAATACAATTGTAAAGAATTTATCTGTTTTTATCCGCAGCAAATTCTTTCGTCACTGCGTTTTATATTAATATCGTACGTTGCTGCTGTGTATTAATATTTCTTGAAAGTGAACGATTCAATTTGCATATTGGAGTCGTTTCTTTCAGTAGGCAAATTTATCAAAATATCGCGCGTAAAACGGTGTCGAAAATGTATAAAATCACACGATGGGACTTTCTTTCTCTGTACAATGATTCATTCAATGAGCATATCTATGCGTTTTATCGCGAAACCGCCGTTTACATCAACCGGAAGACACATTACTCACGTTTTCATTCTTTTAGATACTGTATGAAACACGTTTGCCGATAAGGCATGCTATAAATGCATTTCTCAAAGGGCACTGATTAAGTATCTGCGAGAAACCGATAATTTCAATGCTTTATGAACTGACGAGGCTTTTAAACCCTGATAATTCATTGAAAACATTTTAATTGTGAATATTAATTCACGATCTCGTCATTTGAAAGACAAATTCAGATCATACAGGCAGAGGCGTCCACTGGCTCTTCCTTAAAAGGTATATAAATCTCTTTTCTTTATCAAAGGGAGAGCAAAAATGTTTCATTTTTTTCCAGATTTATATACCAAGATGTATGTAAATTTTCATTTATTTTAATTTTAGAAGTTTGAATCATGCCCCTACGTGGAGGAAAACTCCTGCGGACGCCCTTACACAGGAAGCCGTTCAAAGAATAAAGATTTTTTGTTAAGAAACATTGACGAAACACGTACGGTTGTGTGTAATGTGTCGAGTACGGACGCGAACTTGGAGCGGAGCGCGTAGTCGCAGCCCTCGACCGTTCGCTCGAGATCAGGCTTCAGCTCGCCGAGGTGCTTCAAAATCGGGAAGACCACGAGAACGGCGGAGAAGTCGCGTCTCGTGATGCAGCGTTTGGCGCGAGTGGCTATGCTGTCGCCGTCGTGCGCCACCAGGTCCATCGCGTCGCGCACGGTGGCCTCGAGCACCTGCGCCTGCAGGGACGCCGGCAGGATCTTGGCGACCAGCGCGCGCTCGGCCTGTATGAGCTTGTGCAGGCCGGCCGCCAGCAGGAGATAGTTCTCCATCTCCTGCTCGTCGGGCGCCGCGTCCTCCATCGAGTACGGGGCGAGCTGCAGCGCCGGTTTCCTGGACACCGAGTTCAGAGCCAGGTTCAGCCTCGTCGTCTGCGACGCCTTCAGCAGCATACGGTTGGCCTTGTCCAACGCGTGCTGCAGCCGCCGCGACGCTTTACGCCCCGCGTTCTCCTGCCCGTCTATGGAGTGGCGGTTGGCGAACTTGGCTCGCTGCGGACAACACGTTACGTTAGCGCGGATAACAAAGAATACGCATTTCTGCACGGAGAGAGATTTCTCTTGACATTTATCCCGAAACTCGCATGATCGTGGGACAACGTGGGCATTTTAAAGAACTTTGTGAGCTTTTCGAAATTTTGCCACATACATTTTACTAGTAAACGCATGGTAACATTTCAAAAACTCTCATAAAATTCTTTTAAATGCCGCCCCACGATTATATAGTTTCCGGAATAAACCTCAAAAGAAAATTGTCTCCATGTACATGTATACTGTTTTCTCACAGGCATGGGACTTCCACCGTGAGTGCTACCGCCGCTGGCGCTCCTCTGATGTTCCTTGAGCAGCAGCAGAGATCTCAGGACAATGGCGGAGCGTACGGAAGCGTACATCTTGGTGTGCCTACGGTGGCCCCTTTCCTCGAGCCAGCCGGCGATCTTGAGCAAGTCGCTCATAACGCTCTCGGGCAGTTGGCACAGTGACTGCGGCGCGTCCTCGCCGCTGGTGTCCTCGTCGGAGCCGATCAGATCCAGAAGCACGATGGGAAGGATCGGTCTACTTTGGCGATTGAGAATTTCGTGGAACTCGGCGTAGAGCGACTCCAGGCCGATCGAGAAGAGACCCGTGACGTTCTGCAGCTCGACGGAGCTGGGATTGTTTTTCTGGAAGTACCGCTGAGCGTTGTACAGTCGGTTCATAGCATCGAGAAAGCCGTCCAGGCCGCCGGGCCCGCTCGGCTCGGCGCGCACCACGGCCTCCACCTCCTGACACACGCCGTAGTATCCAATAGCATGGTCCAGCACGCTTAAAGTCCTCTCTATATCTGTAACGCGAGAGAGCGAAGAGGAGTGTCGACGAGCTGTTAGACAAGCGGCCTTGAGAAAGGATAATGCCTGAATGCGTACTGTGTTGCTGAGCTTGGAGATTCCCAGTCTCGTTGTAAACAGGAAGTATCGTACGGCGCAGCGTGGCTAAACGGTCCTCCAGGGAAGAGAGTATCCCCACGACGCCGCTCGTCAATCGCCGACTGCGCTCCTCCGCATCCCTCAGGGCTTCCAGCGCCGCGATCTCCGACTCCAACTTGCACTGTATCTCGAAGCGCCTCTCGGAGGTGTCGGCGCGCGTCGCGTGCATGCTGCCGTCGCCGGGTGTTCCGGGTGTGCGGATTGAAAATGGGGACCGATTAATCCAGCGAGTCCCTATCAGACGGCCATGAGCCGATCTCTTTGGCCGCCAGTATTATCTCTGGAGCCTAATGGAAGGCCGGAGAACTCCAGCTATCTGCAACACATCGGGCGCCCGAAAGAAGGCAAGTTTTACATTTGTCAGTTTCAAGCTGCCGTTACTGTTTCTCTCCCAACCGCGTTATCGCCGACGTTGCAACGTGACATTGATCTGACAGCTGTCCGCTTGGTCTCTCGCGTCGAGTTTACGCAACGTCGGCCCACGGGGGATCGTCGCGTCGCCGTGCCGACTATCGATATAATTATACGTCTATCATATACCATTGATATACATCCCCCGTTTACATGTTCCAGCGATTCCGTGTCTCGGAACTCCTCGGCTCATCCCAGCTCATCCGCCGCGAGCCGACGGCAATCGAGGTCACCTCAGGTTAGGTGAGACGGCCGACGGGGCCCCAATCGGAGACTCGCCGAGGTAACCTCCCTTTTCGAGCCGTCACGTAAGGGCTGATCCAGACAGATGTGCGGTTTACACAACGGCGAGCAGCCAATCGCGCGCCTCGCGCGCGCAACATGGCGACGTGTCCCCCCCCCTCGAGTCGCGTGATTGGTTCACTTTTACCGTCGGCCGCGATTAACGTTGGCCTCGCGACTCGCGAGTCGCGCACATTCCGCCTCGTATACGACCACGCGTCTGAAGTCATCGCCGGACGGTCGGATCGTCGCGCGCGCGAAGGAATTTTGCTAAGGCAACTGATTGTTAAGGCAAGTAACGCGCTGTACGGTCATGGTCAGAAAAACTGTCCGACGTTTTACAGTAAGTTTTCGGGATTATTCGTATGTATCATAGATATTTGTACATATCGTTCCTTTGCTCTAATAATACGTAGCTGCACGTGACCGTGAACAAACGCTCGATAATCTCTCGCATGATAGACTGTATTTCCGAAATTTATCGTACAACGGCGGACAAGCTTTCTTACGACTGTACGCTAGGAATCACTTGATGCCTTCCCACGAATTTGTACACGTGTCAACACATTCATACATTTTGCGTCTATCCTGAGAATCACCGATGCCTTCCTATATGAGTTTGTTTTCCGTTCCCGCACTGTTGAACTAGTGCAGTATAGTTGGAATGAGAAAAAAAAATACTTGTCATATAGCGTTTTCCACTGGGAAAGCTAGTCCATATATTTTCAGTGTTTAATGTTCTTCTTCTTCTTCTTCTTCTTCCTCTTCTTCTTCGGGTTTTTTTTGGCTCCCAGTTTCTTGTGTTTAATGTTCTACCAGAGAGAAACCTGAGAGTGGCCATGCCGACATTTTACTCGATACAGTTTCAGGCGTTTCAGGGGACTTTTTGCGCCCTTAAGCCCGTATCAGACTACGGATTGGGATTGGGATTAGATTGAAATTT